CCATCACAACAACACCGGCCTTATCAATATCCTGTTTAGGAGAAGCAAATTTTTGAGGTATTTTTAAAGTAAATTTCAAATGATTTATTTTTATATTCAGAATACATACACGAATACCCATTGTTTTTTTATTTAATAAAGTTATAACGTCACCGGGTTTTACTGCCATGCCTGAGGGCATATTCTCACACACTGGTAAAATACCAGTAACATTAATTGGCAATGACAGAGCTGCTGCTGCGCGTATTGCAGCTATGACTGTTGCAGCACCAGCCATAGAACCACGATATTGATCCATGCGCAAAGCTTTGCGCAAAGAGAGACCACCACTAATATTTATATTATATGTTGTGTTATAAGAACTTGTAAGGAACATTATGGTATTACCTATTAAATGTTATGCCCTTGCCTAGCAGCAGTATGGGTTTATCCTCTGGTGATGTTCCACAGTAAGAAACTTCAAGTAACACTGGTGGTTCACACGAACCTTTTGCAATTGCTAAAAACGAATTTAAGTTCACTTGTTCAATCCATTCCATTGTACGAATTTCAACAGAGACTCCGCAAGGACACAATGCATCTACTGCAGCCTGTGCTAAAGCAGTGGGTGTCATTTGATTTGCTGGAGTATCGGTTAAACGTCGCGCTAAATTTTGTGCTTCCGCCTTAAATAAACCACGAGTCCAAGCATCAACATCTGGAGAATCATATAATTCTAGCTTTGGAAGAGGTATGCGATGTTTTGGACGTTTAAAATCGGAATATCGATACATAGCTAAGGCGGCACCTTCTGCTGCTTGTTCGGGATAATCTAGGGAGTCCATAAATATTTCAGAACAACCCTGATATTGTAAACTACGTGCACCTATACCAGCAGCTACACGAGCATTTTCCTACAAAATTACGTTTACGAATTATTCTAATATTTTAAAAAATGACTATTTTAATTATAAATATCAAAAACTTTATTAATCTAATAATATTTACTCATGGATTGCAAAATTATTTTCTAACTCACCATTCCTTCATCAATCACTTCCATTTCATTGTATCCAACACCATCGTTACCGGCGCCAACTACAGCTACAGATCGATATTCGGGGTCTAAATTATTAAAAACTTTTCCTTTGCCTAGTGCACCTGTTATACTCCATCTGTGTTTAATATATATATGTTATATTGGAATACTTGCTTCAATTTATATTCTCTCAACTTACTCTCTTATCAATTCCGTGAGTTTGCCCTGTACGCGATCATCAAATTTTTCGCCACTGGTTGTTAATTTAGGGACCTTGTCGTCATCTTTAATGTACACACCAATGACAAGTCCTTTCTAGAGAAATTTGATCATTTAAATAAAAATATGTATGATGATTAAAATTTTATATTAAGATCCACTTGCCGTTATTCGCCTGTCATCATGAGAAATATTTCTCCGTGTAAACTGTGTATTAAAATTAGAAGATGAGCACAGTACAGGTGTGAAATATTTTTGAAAATGATATTGCCTAATTGATTGCATTCTATAAAATATACAAATGCGATTATTTCACTGGATTCCAAATTGAAAATATGGATTTAATAAGTCCGATCTACAAATTATTTAAAAGCATAAATTCGAATAAATTTATTTATTTTTTTTTTTTGAAATGTCATAGAAAATATTTAATTTTAAAAATTCAATGAATGATTTTTAAATATTTTGTATATAAAACTAAATTTAGTCATATACCAGATGGTTTATATCCAAACTCACCGTCACTCTTAGGGTAAGGATTTAACGCAGTGAAATGGGGTTAGCATATCTTCGTAAATAATTCAAAGATGAAATGTAACATGGATGAAGCAATCTATATCAGATTGTTACTCAATCGCGGAAACGAATGTCTGTTGTCAATAGATTGTAATTTTCTTAAACAATAGAGCTGTTATCCTAACTCTATCCATCCACAGTACAAAATCAGAGCTAGCGAAGTAATGCAAAATTAACCTGAAATCTATGAGTGACCAATCTTATTGATTTGGATTGATTTGTAAGCCAAAAAATACAAGGGAATAAGATAACGCATAAATTACGCAGAAACATACTCTGCAAAAAAAAACAAATACTGATCTCAATAAAAGTTGTCCAAGTAATTTTTTAAAATTAGCAAAACATTCTGAAAGTCCACTTACATTGCTAGACTACAATTTACTAAGAAGAAGGATCCTTTTGAGTATGACAAGGATCACAATAGTGACCTGCAAAAGCTGCAGAAAGAAAACAGTACATCTCTTCCCAATAAAATCAACTCATTCCTTCGGCGACGGTGCTGATAGGTCATTGCATATATGTTAAGGAAGGTATACATAAGCCTTGTCCTACATTCTAACTTTTGTTGGAGTTATGATTTAGCGATTGAGCAGGAAACTGTACGCCGACTCATGTGTCAGCATCATTGATTAATTTGGAAAAATTTCAAAATCTTTCTGGGTTCTTTTCTAACTGTCCCAATAGTTAGGTTGGTTTCCTTCTACTTGAATGTGGGCATAATTCCTTCTTAAATCCACGCCGTTAGTATCCTAGCTCTGCAGGTCTGTCGTACGAATAGTGTCTGATTCGTTGTATCACAGCGGGCTATTATTTGTGCTTAAGTTAGCTTTGGTGCGCAAGGCTATTGGTCTAACTTTTTTTATCTACCCCGTATGAGCAGTAAATAAGTGTAAAACTTTAAAGTACTGACAGCTAGAGATAATGCAGAAAGATATGCAGTTGGATCGAAATGTAGTTCATAATAGAATGTATAATTATTTGCACATAAAGTATACTCAATGGATTGAAACTATTATCCTACGAATACCATACGTGTTAACTGAATAGTATAAACTGAATAATAGTATGAATAGCTTCCAATCAATTTAAAGCATTTTTGAGAAAATAATTGCCTACTTTTAGGATGCAAAATAATGTGTGATAATGATTTCAAAAAATATTTATAAAAATATGTTTGTAAAATTACCACAAATATATATAGTTTATAGATATTTTTCGAGTTTTTAAGGAATACTAGCAAATAACAGTTAGGGATTATTTAAAAAAATCAATGATAACTTTTTTCTTATGTAAAAGCTTATTTGTCAACAATAAATTGTTAACATTACGTTATGAGGTGCTATTACATACACACTATTCAGCAAAATTATCTCTATCCGATAATTATTTTTTTCTTAATTCAAAGATTTAAACTGCGTTCAAAGTCTCTTGGTACATTCGCACAAATGACTTGCTAAGAGATATTAGAATAGACCCGGTCAAAAAATACAAAAGGGACAGAGCCCTGAAGCTATTCATGAAAACCGATATTCTGCCCTACTTAGCACTATCTAATCTCAGAATAATCTCTAGTCGCGTTGGGGCGGTACGAAGATCTAAGATCAGTCATCGAATTATCACAAAGCTTTTGAGGAATACATAAATTAGTCAGTAAGAATGGTGGGACATAAAAAATGTAATAAAATGTGTACAAAAATAATTAAAGATAAATCAATACGATCAGACTAAAGTCTATTTAAAAACTTCTATAATTATACCTTGCAGTAATAAAGACAATTATTTTCGTTATTATCTATAATTTACAATTTTTTTTGATAAGTAATACATTTTCAGTCCATCTAAGATAAATATATCTTACTTATTGGATTAAAATGCAATAAGCGAAAATTTCATGAGTTCATTTATTTCTAATTTGATTGTCAAATGTTCTGGTAACATATTTACAAAATAATCTTTTTTTCAAACAATTTATTTTTCATGGTATTAAAAAGTGATTAGCACATACGAAAGTATTTATTGATTGAAAATTCTATGCTAATTAAAAGCAACAAATAATAGTGTTTTATGTGGAAATCAATAAATGCCAATTGAAATGGTTACAATGCAAATAGTTGAAAAACCTGAAGAAAAATGCAAGGCACTATGAAATTTTTGACCTAAAGAACAACATCGCCATGCGTTATGATATGACAGTTGAGTGCATCACCCACAATTTCTACTACTGGAACCTCCAAGCAGAAGTTGCAGCTAAAACCATCACTGAACCATTTCAACATAGCAATACTTGTAGCCCCAATGCTGTTAGTCAAATACTTTTCTGAGCTTTTTGCAAATTTTTGCATTACCGGGTCGCGTTCTTGCCATTTAAATCAGCTTAAGGCTTCATTTAAGTCAAGTATTGTCGGTAAAATGTTTTTAATTTTTTTAAAATATATTTAGAATGCGTTTTACTTATAGCAGGGAGTGTAATTTAAATTTTTGAGAAAGTTTTTGTTTTGAATTACTTGAATGCATATTTGGTGCAATTAGGTGACTTTATGACAGTAGCTGTTAAGCTTAAGCTAATGCAATAATAAAATAATTTCCATTTTTCATAGAAATCGACACACAGATTACTTATCTATTTTAAATATATGTATGATTACTATAGTTAAAGCTCTGTTAAATGAACGCTGCCTTGAACGGACATACCCATTAACTTTGCCATATTGCTAGTCCTTAGTTATTATTTTTAATACGAATTATGTTACGTTCATTAAAATGGATTTAAGGTCCGTCATCAACTAAAAGACATTTAAATGATATGATTTCTTAGCCTAGTTAAAGCCTAGTGTAGGGTAGAGATAAGCCCCCCAGCCATTATAAAGTAAAAGTGCGTAATAGCACTAACTCAAGAAAAAGAATCAAGACACGACAGTTTTCTTGATAGGAAAAAATTACTGGTCCGACTTCAACTAGTTAGGTTTCACTGGTTAGTTATATATTATGGAGTTTATATTAAAATATGAATATATAGTACGGTCGGATATCATCCCTTGATCTTTGTAATGGGATTTTTTTTTCTAAATATAAAAAGTTTTTTAAAGACTACTGCTGTACCTGAAAAGATCCTCACGTCACTGTAATTTCTGTATTCCATGAGAAATGTTTTAAATCTATTTTATACCTATTCTTTAAAGCAAAGTTCCGATTCGGAAAATGTTCAATATTTTTCTCAAATATTTCATATTTATTTATATTATTATTTTGATCTCGCAAAAGTTATTTGACTCTGTGAGCAGTCACAGATATTTTATATTAAGACTCCTAGATAAAGGGTTTTCAGTTTAGTGTGTGCCAGTAAATCATGTTTAAGTAAACTATGTTTTATAATTTTATATAAAAAAAATTATGTCAAAGAGCTTTGAATTTCATTTCAAATGAAAAAATGTAGAAACTTCAAACACATATACTTTTTTAACTAGTTGCAATATAGGTTTTTTCCAAATTCGTAGTTAATTAGAATTGTCCTTTTCGTCATGTACTATGCAATTTAAATAACAAATAAAATTTATCGTGAATACAAACCTAATAAAGCAACAATTCTTCATAATTTGCAAAACTTAATCATTTTATCGCAACCTAAAAAAGTGCTTAAATAAAAATCTGCGAGGTCGTCTAATTATTTTTTTTTTTATTGATTAAAGGTTTTCTTAAGAAACTGCGAGTTAAAGATAATTGTTTTTGATAATAGAAATAAAAAATTGCAAAATGAATCGCTTACGTACACAAAAGTTCAAACCAAATCCTGATGTCAACATAAGCGACACCGCTTGTAACAGCTCCTCAAGCAACAGTCTCCTAACCAAACTCACAAAACGCTACTCGACAATCAGCAATAAGATTACGCGAAGGTCTCACTCTGGTCGCAAAAGTCAGTCGCCACAAAAGATGATATCGGGTAGTTACGACATGACCGGTACACATTCTGATGATCATCGCTTGGAAATCGGTGCCCCTGTATTGATATCCACAACAACACTAGACACAGATCGCTTGGATGTTACAGAGGCGCGACTACGACAGATTAATGGCGGCATTGCTGCCACTAGCACAATGATACGTTGCAAACCTGCGCAATCATCGCCACCAATACCATCATCCGGTAGTGAGAATGAAATGTATTTAGATGCTTTAAGTACACCGCCGCGTAATAATTCCCTTCCATGCGATGAGGAAGATGATAAATTTGTTTTGGCACCAACGACACCGAAGCAGGCAAGCCCGGAACGTGAAATAAAACCCTTAAATACGCCTGTAGTAGAAAATAAAACTATTGAAATCGTTGACACAGCTCCTGTCGAGTCAAAGCCTAACTATATCGAAACGAATTGTTCTATACGCTCCGAGCCTAAACTTAATAGAAGGCAGCATTCAAAATCTGTGCAGAATTTACATAGATCGGAAATTAAGGTGTATTTACAAAAGTCACCATCCATTGAATTGAATAGAAGCTTGACAACTGCAGATTTAGATCACTGCCGTGATTTACCCAAAATACCAGAACTTTATGGTGCCAGTAAGTGCAGTTTAGCGCCCACCGAGAATGAAGACAAAGATTATAATAAAGAAAACTCCGCTCCTTCACGTATGATTAATTTGCATAATTCAAATGTATCTAATGATTCACTGTGCCCGGAAAAAAAAGTAGGTGGATTTCTGGCACAACAATTGCAATTCAAAAGTGTTGACTCTTTGGATATCAATCGGAATGGTAAACGGCAAAGTGTGATATTTGCTAGTAGTATTTCGATCAATGATCGTGGTTCAAAAAATAGTGTCATGAGCCAGGAAAGTGCCTTAGAAGATTTCGATCTCAAATCTGTAAGTTGTCAGAGCTTAAATGCACAAAGTTTATTTGTGTCCATTGATGAATTGAACGAAATTACGCGTCAACTCAATGAATGGGAAGACTTTAACCAAGAAATTGATTTGGAATATTGTCAACATCGCGATAATCTCAAGCCAAGTGAGAGACGAATTACATTACTGAAAAATAAAAATACACGTTTGATTAACTTCAATAACAACAAGGAGAAGATAAAGAAGGGATGGAATGGTGTAAAACATTGGCTTGAAGAAGAGAGTACTAAAATTAAAGAAGCAATGAACAGGCAAACACCCATGCATAGAGCGGGGGCTTCTCGTTTAAATCTTAATAGTTCAGACCCACAGTCCACACCTTCTGTTATTGGCAGTGTGGCATTAGAAAATAGAAGTGATAGACGTAGTATGTCACGGGAAAAAACATTAGCCGATAGTGATACTATCATGACATCAACATGTACGCTGTCAAAACCCGAAACACACTGTAGCCCTGTACATGAGCTGCGTCTAAGTTGTGATAATATGACTGAGGATGAAATGGACGAATTAGAATCGTCATATACACATAGACCAGGTGATGAGTCATCACCAGAAAGTAAGCGCATCAAACGGGAGGTGAGAATAACACAAATTTCTAGTAAATTATTGAACTTAGAGTTTTTAAATAATAATTGTAGAATTTTTTAAATACTGGAGAAAATGCGCTTAGATATATACTTAAACATAAACATATTTGTATATTAAAAATGAGTTTTTACTAATAATTGCTTTTAATTTTCAGGGCCAAAATGGATTCGAAGAATTACGACGCTACATTAAACAAGGAGGTGACTTCGGCAAGGAACTTATACTCATCCTACAAGAAAGGTAAGAGAAAATATATCATTTCGTTTGAAAAGACTGCTATATGCTTTTGCTTTTTTCTTTAAACACTATTAGAGTCGAAGCTGAAACTTTATATTCTAAATCTTTATCAAAAATGGCTAACAAATTGAACAAGGCTTGCCGCGAACTTCCTGGCAGTATTGCTGATGCTTGGCGTGGTGTTGCTACAGAAATGGAAAGTCGCAGCGATATACATCGTCAGTTATCAACTTCACTTACAGATGAAATAGTTAAACCACTGAAAACAATAGTCGATACTCATCATAAAGCAAGAAAATCTGTAAGTAAACAAATACTTTTAAATTACTTTGTTCTATAATATTCTGAAATCTTCCTTCTTTATTAGGTGGAGACCAATGTCGATAAGGCAGCGCGAGTATTAGCCGAATGGCGTGTCAGTGAAGCTAAGAGCAAAAAATCTTCACATGCTGCTGCTAGAGAAAATGAAAAACTACAGGACGCTATGTTGGATGTCCGAATACAAAAATCTCCATCCATTGCCATACTCCATCAAGGTGCGAACAAAGTAGCAGCGGAGAAAGAAATCAAATCAGCTGAAAAGGATTGCGCCAAATTGGATAACAAACGCAAAAAAGCTGAGGAAGCTGTTAAACGTGCTGATGTCGAATATTACACACTATGCGTACGTGCTGAGCGTGCACGTGTTGACTGGGAAATGTCTGTTCTGCGAGGTGCTTCGCTGCTACAAAATGTTGAAAATCAGCGACTTGTGAATATGAAAAACTTTGTCTCAAATTATACTCGTCTAACATCGATGATGAATCCAATAATAGATAGCGTAGTGCAGCGTCTACAGCCACAAGTTGATGCCTGTAATGTATTGAAGGACATGCAAGTTGTTAAGAATATAAGACGTAATTCAGAGGGTCCAAGTGAACAGTTGTTACCCGACTTTTATTGCGAACACACAACTTTGGCAATGAATCGTGAGAGGCGAAAACATGCTCTAATCAAATTACTGCAATTGGTAAAAGCTGATTTGGAACGCGAACGACGTTCACGTAATGGATTGAAGGGTCTCTCGCAATCATTGAATAACCAAGAGAATCAAAATATTACCGATAAATTGTATCATGTTAGTATTACAATTTAAATTGTTGTTTAAAAGTTTTTAATTAATATATATTGCATTTGTTTTAGATTCGTTCAATGCTAACATATTTGGAGGGCTCCCGTTTTAAATTACATTCAGCTTTGCTGGAACTGGATCATAAGCCACGTACAACGCATCCTCTTGCGCAACATATACAAGTAAGTCAAGAATTTTATTTAGAATTATAGAATAAAACATTTGGTTGAATGTTATTGAATACTGCAGAGAGGTTAAAATAGAGGATATACGCTTGCAACTAGGCTTATGATTATATACTACTCATTACTACTACTCAAGTAAAAATATAATACTTACTTATATTTATTTCTGTGTTCCACGTATTATCTTCCAAAATGCTCTAAATCTAAATCATGTAATTTGTTAAAAATATATTATTTTACAAGCAAAGCTATAAGAATCGAAGATATACAAACACTTATTAAATAAAAAAAATGTAACAACTTTTCTGATATATACTCCATTTTATAAATTAGATATTATCATTCACATATCATTAGTCACATTGATATTTGTGGATTGAGAAATTATGCTTATTATTATTAATGACTCTAGCTGCAACTGTGAGGAAAATGACGGTAGTGTTCTCCGCAAATGCACAGCTTAGGCATATATATTTCTAGATGAAATATATCTAGATTTCTTTTCTAGATGAAATTAATCCTAAGCAGTAAATCTACTTAAGGGATATCTTATTTATTAAAAGTTTGAAATAGTTTAAAACACTCTGAACTTTACTTTACAACACAATTGACATCAGGCCTAAGTCGTTGAATCATGTTAACTAGAGAATTATTTTAAAAGACTGGAATCGGGTCACTTTTTGAATACTTTTTTATTCCAAAAGATTTCTGCTGAAATCTATTATAAATACTGATAATATTTATATATGTATTATATTCGATTGTATGGATATCTAAGTTTCTTCCTATATATAGAAGAAGAATATCTATATGTTTAAATAAGTGTTATATA